GGGGGACAACGTGACGCGGGAATGTAATGTGTGTATAGACAGTGTGTAATTGATCTGCGGTCAGAAGTATTATTGACGTTCGTTGATATAGCGTTTGTTTTAGCGCGATTGTTGAAGTTGAGTGTATCGGTAAAGTTATATTCGGAAAGAATAAACCAGTTTTATTAAGTAAAGACTTGTGTCGCTTAAGTTTCGTCGGAACGAAGTTACGGAAAATTAATTAACACACGGAGACGTAACAATATTTTGTGTTTGTGGACATAAACTGAAAATATTTTCATTTTCCTGATGAGGTTTTATTTATAATTTAAATCACAGAGACGAGGTAAACTTGAGCCATACTTCAATATGCAAAATTACATTTATATTAGGGTTTTTCATGTTAATCATAGGCGTCAAGGATTGTCCTGCAAATATAATTCGTGTTTCATTAAACAACATTTAATGCCTTATATTTCATCGGATTCATTAGTTGTATAATATTTTTGGTAAAATCGGTCTGTACATTCCAATAGTTACGTCATTAAAATGCTAAGGAGTCGACATCCTATTTCTGAATTCATGCTTTACAATAGTTCGTTATGACTTTCTTCTCATTGATCTCGTTTTACTTGTATCTTTCGCATGACAACTCGATTTCAGATCTCGCTCTCTCTGAGATAGTCAAAGCGCTTACATTTCTTGCTATGTTGTATATAAGACTTGATGACCAGATAATGTCACTAACTTTTATTAATTGACTTTCATTGTTATAATAAATATCACATTAGATGCCTGCCTTATATCTCATAGAGTAGTTAACTTTGCAAACAGTGTGTACAGTATAAATACATCCACTTTAATCAACCAAATGACGGCACTTAATTTGTCACAGAACGACATCATTCCACACGTCACATAAGTAAGCATTGGCTTGTTAATATTGAAGAGGTGAAGTAAACACTGTAAACACCAATCATGTAATTGATATGCCTTTTCTTTGCATAGAATCTAGCGAAACTTACTGAAACTAAAGAGTATCAATATACAGTAAAAGAGTTTGTTTGTTTGTTTGTTTGTTTTTGAATTTCGCGCAAAG